AAAGGGGGGGGGGGGTTCTAAGAATAAGAGCTGAGAGCTTTGCTGTACAGCTCTGAACATACAGTTCAAATATCCAAGCATCTTCTAGTCTAGTAGGCAGTCTTCAAAAGTGATGCCACCATATACATTTTTGGCAGAAACCTAAACTTTGCATAACATTAGGTTCTCATAACCTACATTTGTGCCTATAATGAATAATTATAATAATTAAGAATTTAATTTAATAATAATGATAATTCAATTAAATGTTCATCTTAAAGGCACAATATGTAAGATTTTTTTTATTAAAATATCCAAAAACCACTAGAACAGTGTTATATATTTTGCTGACTTGTGTACTTACATTATCCCAAATGTTTTGAAGAATGTTTAAATCCAAAGAAATAAGCAATTTTAACTAGTGACACGGACCGTGTCCATAGTGTCGCCTGCCAATGACGTCATAACTCCGGTTATGGATGGTTTTGTTTCGTAGAAAACATGGAAACAACAAAGATGCTTTAATATGTTGTGCGTTTTAATAGACCGGTGACGACCGCACAGAGTAGCATTATAACAGAACTTTCAAATCTATCTAGTATGATAAAACAGCGCTGCTTTTTTTCCCCCCACATACGCACGACCGGAAGAAGTGGAAGCGGTCGACTGTGGCATAATAAAAGCTCCGCTGCTTTCGAGCCGTGTGTCACGTTTGTTCAGCGGCCTCGTTTCGCTTCGACAGCTTTCAGCCTCACCCTGCTTCATTCTACTACGTTAACAAATCATTAGCTCATCCATGAACATGATTTCTGCCCGAGTCCCGTCGGATTGGCTGTGGGGATAAAGACCACAACTCCCATGATTCCACACTCAGTCACTGCATCATCAAACTAAGCCTTTGTTTCTTTGTTTATTTTGAATACGCGCCCTCTAGCCCCGAAAATTACATATTGTGCCTTTAAATTACATTTAAATTGAGAAAAATTCTACAATTAAATTAACCTCCATAACTGATGTTACATATAACTTTAAAATAGCATGTGGTTTAAAATAATAAAAAAAATGTTTAAAATAATTTTACACTTTTTAAATAATTGGAATAAAATGACGGATACATAGACCAGCACAATGCTTTTCTCTATGTCAAATTTTCTGTTACAAGATGTGTTGCATTTGGGGTTTCTGTTATTTAATATTTTTCATAAATTTTCTCCTCTATTTGAAAACCAGAAGTGGTATTTTATGGAAATTTCAGCACAAAAAGTAAATAAATAAATAATTTAAAAGGGATCCATACTTCCACACTTATTACATTTGCGATAAAGGTCATTCACTCAAAGGCATTTAGGAAATATCCTATTTAATTAAGCTGCCAATCAATGTTCATGTTTGTTCTAGATGAGCAATTTCTTTCTTTCAGCACTTTTCTGGGCATATGAAAGTGTGCAATGTTGATTTTAAGACTGAGGCTGAAAAGTACTAAGTTAGTGCTCACATTGGCTTGATACTGTTCCAGAATGACATGTCCAGGGAACTCAGGCTCTGGCACATTGGAGAATTTCCGGATAATGACCAGCAGTGTTTGTAAACCAGCCAGTCGGAGCTGATCGCTGTGGTCTGTGGCTGCCATGAAAGCCATGCGGATGAGGTCCGCCAAGTGGAGAACCACGTAATCTGAGAGACAGAAGGGGTGCCTTTATTAACGGTGTTAACAAATATATATAAAATCACCCCAGAAGGTGGTGCTAAGATCCAGTGCTTTACTGAACACATCAAGAAAGACATCACAGTATTCAGAGTTACAGAAAATACACTAAAGCAATTTGGAGAAGAATGATAATAAAAGGAAATAAAAATTCTAACACAACAGAACTGATGTGTCTAACCTGCAGATTCATGTAAACGTTGTTCTTGAGCGAGTGCCATGTTGAAGTGAGCCAGGTCTCCGTTCTCACACTGTGCTATTATGCGACACACACACTCCATGGAAAACACACGAGTGGACCAGCGCAGGTTATTGAAGGGGCCGCTGGATTCAGACTTTGCGTGGAATGCAGAGGAGTCATCATATCGATCTCCATCCTCCTCCTGCTGCGTTTCTACAGCAGCAGCTGCAGCTGAGTCTAAACAATAAGAACATAAAAAAACTAAAAGCAACTATTTACAAGTCAAACTAAAAAAAAACACTGATTAAAAACAAAGAATTTGTCATGAAATTGTAAACACAGATCACAACATTTTAAGCCAATCTTAAGGCCTTTACACTGGTCAGGTGGGTTGTATTTTACAAAAAAATTTTTTTTGATTTTTTTATTCTCATCATATTCTGCTCAAGGAGCTGAGACTGAAGCCCACCTGCAGAGGCAGAGAGCACATCTTTGCAGAGTTTGAGCCAGTCGGCCAGATTACTCTCAGCCGCCGAGCTCATCATGTGGACAAGCGTCTCCTGAATGTCTCGGCACAGGCGTGGGTCAGACTCCCTGTCCAACAGACTGAACAAAGCTCCCTCCAATCCCACCTCCTTAATAGTGACATCTGCAGGATAGACAATAACCATTTAACATACAGCCCACAATGTGATATATATTATAACAAATGATGTTTTGCTTGAGAAGTGTGCTTGTGCTGTCTTTAAAACAAATGCCACTTACACAGATATTATGTGTGCATATAGTTTGACAAGATTTTTTTAATGATTTTTGAAAGAAGTCTCACCGAAGCTGCATTTATTTGATCAAAAAGTTAAAATAATTATACTGTGAAATATTACTATAATTTTAAATAACTGTTCTCTATTTGAATAGATTAAAAAATTCAATGTTATCCTGTGAAAAAACTTTTCAGCAGCCATTAATCCAGTCTTTAGTGTCACATGATCCTTCAGAAATCATTCTCTTATGTTGATTTGGTTCAAGACAAAATTCCAGGCCCCAAACTAATCTATGGCTCACTGCAGTCAAACCCAGCTCAAAATGCAGAGTACAGCAGAGACGTGCTGAGATGATACTATGTTGTGCAGTGGGGGCGATGCTGACTCACCCAATTGTGTGTTGTCTCTGCGTGGTAGCTCTTTAACCAAAGCGACTGCATGCTCCGATACCTCCACTGCTTCTCTCTGAGCCAGTTGTCTCAAGCAGGCCACAACTGCACGCCTCAGAGACAGGTATGAGCTGCACAGGTTTATCTGTACATGCACAAATATTATACATGATATTAAATGTAACGTTAGAACTTAGTATGGTCAAATAAACGATGAGTAGTGAATCAACTGAGGTCTCGTGAAACAGAAGAATAGAACTGAGACATTAGAGCTGGGTGTAAAATTAAATAAAAAAATTTCAATTCAATTCAATAAAAAATAAAAAATAAAAAAAATCCTTGTAATGGTTTAAATTATTTGATCATATAGCACACCCCTGATATAATATATAAATATTAGTTCAGACTGAGAGCAAATAAAGTTCAGAAATAGAGCACACTGCAACTGTAATGATTACTTCATCACATAATCCAGACAACAGTGCAATAAACACTTCAACAGACAGCTGCGGTCACATAAAAATTAGTCTGTTATGTCAAAATGATCCCACACAAACACTCTTTCAGTGTAGAGAAGGACAGAGGGAGAGGAGAAAGGGGCAGCAGGGCTACTGTCAAGGCTTGTTTTGAGCTTTAAATGATGTGACAAGTGAGCTGTTTGCAAAGAATAGGACCATAAATCAAACCATCTAAAAATAGAGCATGTAGAACAAAGCATGTTTTTCTCAATTACTGTCTAATAATGTCTAAATGTGTGTGTGGTTGTATGAGGAAGAGAGAGCGAGAGCAATGGACTGAAGCTCTCACAGTAATAAAGCTAATAGCTTGAATTGGCAAGAGGCCACAGATGTGGATGTGAATGTCATGTGCACTGTGTGGGTGGTCAGTGTTAGAAGCCTTTACAGAAAAGAACAAGCCAAGCAAACCTAATCCTTGGCATTAACCCTGCAGTTAGACGCAGTGACACTGTCTGCTCATGCTCAAAACCAGATCCTTCTTGAGTTAGTTTCACACTGGGAAAAATGAGAGGAGGACAGCAGAGTGTAATTATAGAGAGAGATGCAAGAAGAAAAAAAAAGAAGGGAATATGAAGTGCAAACAAAGGAAAGGGAATAAAGTGGCCTGATAGTAGAGAGGTAGACAAAACCTACCAACACAGAATAATCCAATAAGATTTCCTGTACGAGAAAGCATAAAAAAAGCACTGTCACTACAAATGAGGGCAAAGCCAGGCCCGTGAACACTCACCTCTTTCAATGACATTCATTTTTCTTAAATATATATATATATATACATACAAACACACCAGTCGGTATCCATATTGGTTGATATCAGTAAACAACGGTTATTGGCTCACATTGGCTTTTTGAGTTTAGATTTTTTAATTATTGGTTATAAATTTCAACAATATATATTTCATTATTGGTTATCTGCCATAAAATGAAAATAATTACTACTTTGTAAATATCTGCCAGAATATTAATATCTACTAATACTTTATAGAAAATGTCTTCAACCAAACTGAAATTCTCCTTGTACATTAACTCTATATAAACTAGGCCTGGGCGATAAAACGGTATCGATATTTATCGACGGTACACCTTCTTCAATATCGACAGAATAATTGTTTGATATAGCGCATGATAAAGGCACGTGCTATGAGTGACGAGTGTGATGAGGAGATTGTGAATAAAGAATGAATATTAGTCGAATTTAAAATAAATATTTGCATTTGAATGTTAGGTGTCCATCAGGGAGCATCATCAGTGGCGCGTGAGATGCAGTGGTGATGTAAGTGACGTTGTTGCATTTTAATGTTTTGTTAGTCTAGCCCACGAGATCCGCCACTGTGTTATGCATTCAAAATATTAGAGAAATATAGAAGCTCAATGCGGAGAAGATCTTGATTAGGTTAAAACCGAAACCAAGCCATTCACACAGAACGCATATTCAGCACATTTTTTGACGGACAAACATGACTGCTGCACTCGCGTCTCACAGAAGAGATGTATAGAAAGCCATGCAAACATAAAACTGTTTAAACTTTTAGAAAACACATCACAAATTTGTGGAGGTTTATTCCTTTTCACTGCTTATCATATATTTTAAAATGCAGTCTGTGTGAATGGCGCTTCGGCTCTTTGAATTAAGCAATGCATAAATACATGATGCTGTTTTGTTCATAATTGTTTATGCAATTTACATTAGAGTTAATTTAGACGTAATGCATGTTTTTATAGAGTTACTTCCTTGCGTTGACAATTTAAATGCGCTGCATTATTTTTCTCATTGCGCCCTCCAGTGGCCTCGGGAGACAATTAGACCTATACAATAAAGACCTATTTAATCAGCATTTAAAACATTAGAAATTACATACAAATTGACAAAGCAGACTTTGACTTGACTGACTTTTGAAAAAAAAAAAAAAAAATGTTTTCTATATATATATATATATATATATATATATATATATATTTCTCTGGTTGTGTGCATAATTCATTGATAGTCTCAAAAAGAAAAAATCTTTCTTACTCGTAATGAAAATTTATATTTATCCACCTCAGAACCTACTTTACTTTTTTTCTGACAACTCAAACTGCTTGGGGGGTGAAAAAAATAATATTAACCAATAATATAACAGCCTAGAATTTCACATTTCAATCAAATTCTGGTCAATTAAACATTATTTTGTTCACTGTGTATAATTGATCAGAAATCGGTTCAGTTAAATGTGTTGTGAATGCAGTGGAATGTCTGTTGTTCAGTATGATTTTGACTGTTAAGTGCATTGAGGACATACACAGAGGCTGGGCACCAGGCTGGCCAGATTGACAAAGCGTGGAGCAAACATGTGCAGCTGCTGGAGGCAGGAGATCGCCTGGGCCTGGACCAGACAGTCCTGAATGTCCTGCATCACAGCACAGCCCACCAAACACGAAGTCCTCACCGCACACACACCTGCACCCTCACCTGGAGACAGTTTACATTAAACAACCAGAGAGAAGAGAGTATGTAAAGGTCTCACCAGCATGATGACAATGTGTTTATGGGTAAATAAGTGTGTGCACCTTGCAGATCCGGCCCCATGGAAGTGATTAGGGCGTTAAGGCAGCGGCCCAGGCTTTGCTGCACCTCCACGTGTGTGTGTGGCGTCGAGAGGAGCAAACGTAGTACTAGAGTGAAACTAGCCTCTAGGTGACTGTGATACAGAGGGCCTGCTAGATCCACAACCATGGACAGAGCATGGAGAGCCCACATCTGCATACATGCATATAGTTCACTGAAAAGTTAGTGCATGAACTTCCTGACAACTCTCTATATAGAAAAGCACACAAATGGTATCCTGATTTATTTAAAACAGTCATGTGGTCTGTGTACCTGTACTTCAGGTGAGGTGCTGTCCTGGGACAGGGTGAAGAGGACTCCAACACAGGCACTAAGGTACTGAGGGGAGCTAATCCCACTCAGATAACGGTAGACAGCGCTGAGTGCCAAAGCATGACCTGTGCGTGTGATGGCATCCCTCGCCGTCTTCAGTCTGAAACACATTTACATTCATTTCAGATCATTTCATTTCAAAAACATTCTTATTTTTACACTGCACTTGCCATACACTCACTTGTCAAAGCTCATGAGAGTGATGGAAACGGTGAAATTGGGGTCATTACGAACTTGCACAAGCCTGGCTAAACCCTCTGCAGCCATGCAGCGCAAGAGAGGGTTTGAGCCCTCTAGCGCCCCCAATAGGAGAGACAGTGCTGGTCTCTGAACCTCCTCTGACCCCAATTCCCTCCGACTTGATGCCAAACACTACAAAGCAAAACAGGAAAGAAGGGGGAAAAGAGGAACATTATATGGTTTGAATGCAAAGGTTTTCAATTATTATTTTTGAAATGGTTTCTTACCTTCAAAGTACAGCAGAAAGCAGCAGCTACACGGATTTGAACAGTCTGCTGCCGGGCTCCTTTAAGCTGGCGCACAAACTCACAGAACTGCTCTAGGATCTGAGCCCTGAGACAGGAAATACAACAGATGTACTGTTCAGCTACTGTAATATCTGATTTTCCTTAGGAGTGCATTATATGTATAAACCAGATTATTAGCCGATATTACAAACTTTCTGTTGAAATTGGATACATAAGGGCCAAACTGAATACTGAATTGTTAATACTCATTTGCACAATTACTACATTTAGATTATGTAAGCATTAGACGATGCCAAATGTCAAATTAAACTCTAAAAACACTAATAATTTAATAAGATAAATAAATAAAAATAAAAACTCCAAACAAACAAACAAAAAACAAACAAACATCAAAAAAAGAATCTAGACAAGCTGTTAGCGGGATGAAAGATGCACTGCAGGAGGACCGATGGCCCCAAATGATCAGTATAATTTTCTCTCCACTGCTATGTTTAATAATGCATGGGATATGGCCAGAACAGCCCCCAATTATGCAAATGCATGCAGATGTCTGGATGTAAATTTGGCTATGCTGCATAAGAATGTGCTTCAAAAAGCCTCTGGATCTCATTAAGGCCAGTTCCCGCAAGCATTCAGTAACAGTATCAGTTCCTCCTAACAATCTGAATAACTTTAAACGGTAATGTTGGTTAACATCAGTACATTCACATTTTAGTGAATGTAGCATAAAACAAACAAACTATATAAATAATTTACAAAGTGGGATGCGTCATTATGAAAATGAAAGGCACTATAGAGTTGAGGGAAGCAATCTAGAACATAGCCAACTTAATCTGAGAATTTTCTGTTTAACTATTCATCAGCATTAGCTATTCATTTGAAGCATTATGAAGGGTATTGCTTGCATAAAGGTCCGATATAAACTAACTGAATGACCTGAAGTGTTTGGCGACATGGAGGTCCTTTTAAATGAACTGAACTAAAAGTACTCCAACCAGACAGCAACGGTATACAAAAGCAGCCTTCTGGAGGGAGTCTATGTGGTGACAGTGGACGTACTTCTGCTGAATGCCCAGGTGGGGAAAAATCACTCCAAACAGCTGGACAGCTGCTGCCGTTAAAGCAGTCTAGACAGTGATCTGGTGCCTGATTGAAAACTGCAATTGTGTAAAAACACCTACTAGCAAGTAACAGCAGAGACTCACTGACTACAGTGATCTGAAATGCTGCCAGCATGAACAAACCTCTTTAAACAGAACCACAAACTTACTGTGTGCTTTAAAAGGAGGATAGGAAATGTATAGACACAAATCTCATACATACCTTGCCCTTCGAGTGTGATATTCCTAGCGGACAGAGCTGTACGGCTCCCAGCAGAGCTGCAATGGCAGCACTGTACCCTTCCACAGCCTCTGGGCATGACTTCAGGGCATTTAGCCTCTCTGCACAGCGGTCTAGCAACACTGCCACCTGAGCAGGCATCCCTACAGCAACACACCGCAGGCACCAGGCGGCTGCCAGACGAGCAGATGCGCTGGGGTGAAGAAGAACAGAGATCACAGTGTCCAACATTCCTGTCAGAAAAACAAAACAGAGAAACTATTGAACTTGCAGTTTTAGTAAAGTTCAAGACATCAGAGATGACAATCTGAGCTCTTTCTGAAATTGCAGGATGGATGTGTTAAATCTGCAGCGGTAGGCACTTTTTCTGCTCACTCCTTCATCCAGGTCTTATTGTGACACATCCATTAAAGAGCAGACATACTCACACAAAATCCAGAGAATTAGCTATAGACATTTGAAAAATATATTTCTTTGATCCTGGTTCAAACTCCAGTACAAGACCATCACAAATGTGCAATGATAGGAGCAAGATGTTGTCTACACCAGTTTTATTGACAAAGATATTATAGCTATTTTTAAAATTACTGTAACTTTGTTACTGGTTATATAGCAGAATATGGCCTCATAAAGGTCTCAAAAAAAATAAAAACCCCAACCATTTAATACTCAACATCCTGTCCATCCAATACTTAAAATTCATTGGCTTGAACAGAATATAGAATAGCAATATAATAAAATACACTACTGTTCAAAAGTCTGGAGTCAGTAAGATTTTCTTAAACATTTTTGAAAGATGTCTCTTATGTTCACCAAGACTGCATTTATTTAATCAAACACATAATAAAAACAGTGATAGTGACATTTTATTTAAATTAAAAATATTTTTCTATTTTAATATATCGTAATTTATTAATGTGATGGCAAAGCTGAAATTTTAACAGTCATTACTCCAGTCTTCAGTGTCACAAGATCCTTCAGAAATCATTATAATATGTTGATTTGGTGCTTAAGAAATATTTCTCATTATTATCAAAGTTGAAAACAGTTGTGCTGCCTAATATTTAATTAATTAATTTATTTATTTTATATTCTGAGGAACAAAGTTCAAAGAACAGCTTTTTTTTTAAAAATATAAATATTCTGTAACATAATAAATCTCTTTTCGATCACTGTTGATCAATTTAATGCGTCCTTGTTGAATAAAAGTATTTTCTTTCCAAAAAAATAAAAAATTACTACCCCAAAACTTTTTAACAGTAGTGTACATCAATTGTAAAAAATAAATAAAAAAAACAAAAAATTCAGAGGGGGTGTTTTTGTTGTCACATTTTAAATATTTGGGGCACTTTTCATCACCACACTCCACTAATGCAGGTAAAAAGAGGAGTATCTAAAAATCCTTTAAAAAAAGTTTAATGGGGTGCCGAGAGTTTATTGGTTAATAATGCATGACAAACCTATGCTGGTGTCAAGCAGTAGTGGGGCGGCAGTGGAGCTCAGGTCCTGTAGCAGACTGCCCAGCTCCAGAAGAGCACATACCAGCACATGCTGACTAGCTGCGACATCCGCAGGCCTCACACGTGCCTCCAAGTTCCCCTCATGAAGAGCTGCGTCTGACAGAAACACAGCATACATTTAAGAAATTACAACTCAATACCCAATGAGACCTAAATATTCGCCCTTGGCCTAGTTTCTTACCCACAACCCTCTTCTGTTTGCTGATCAACTGGCAGATCTCCTTGGCAGCTGCGATTTGGGCCTTCTCCCCCAGCAAAGTGCCAAGAGTGGCCCGCAGTATGAAGGAGGCACAGCAGCGGCAAGAGACGGCATCTGCCGGGTATTGCGTCGCCCGTGCGTGAGATACCCACTCCATGAGAAGAGAAAGAAGACAGGAGAAGTGCGTTTCCAGCCACGTGCCACCCAGAATGGACACAAACACCACACAGGTCTGTTCAAGAGAGTAAACAGGTGGTATTCATGTTAAATGAACTGAAATGGATAAAATAATCTAAAATAAACGTACATAAAATTAAATAATTTATTTATTTAAAACTTCTATGTAGCACAACTTTTTTTTCTGCATAACGGATAAATAAGACACATAAATAAAGAGAGAAAATGTATTTTTTCCGATGTTATACAACCTTAATTTATTCTTTTATTTTAACCTAGACAAAGTCAGTCATGCTGTGACTCACAACACAAACATTCGGATCACAAGGGAAGGACTGTAGGAGGGTGAGCGACCTGTGTGGTGCCCACGCGCACATCTCTGCTGACTGAGCTGATCCCTTTCAACATGTCTCCACTGGCCCGCAGGAAGCCGGCTCCACCCCGCAGGAAACCAGAACTCAGCAGCTCCATCACCTCCTTCAGGGAGTTGCGCTTGGAGCCTGGCCTCGGCGCTGAGAGCAAACCCACAGGAACAGGGGAGGAAGAATGAAAAGAAGAGAAGCGTGAGAGAGAGTATGAGGGGATAAATGATAGAACAGATGGAATCGAGTGGGAGGGGAAAGATGAGCATTACATTTGAGGAAAAGAAAAGCAGTATGTGGGTGACCGAGGAGAGGAGGGAATGATTTTTACAATCTCCATGGGTAAATTATCAGCTTGGTGTCCTCTGAAGATGTTTCTGAGATTGCTGAATAAAATCCACCCACCTATGGCCTGTCTGGGCTCCAGTGCAGACGCTAATAAAGTGCCAAGTAGTTTTGAGATGCCGACTCGGACATCATAGTTTGAGCCCTCGAAGGCTCGGAAACAAAGAGTGGCCACATTCTCCAGCTCTGTGGACCACAGGAAGACAGCCTCTCTCTGGAGCTCCAGAAGACACTATCAAAAAAATAAAGTTAACTTCACCACTTCATAGTAATTTGGGGAAAACTTGGACAAAATTTGAAAGAAAAACTTCATTTTAACTATTATAGTCATTATAATAGAAATTAACTTTATTAATAGGCAATAATGTCTACTGGTATTGATTTCAAGTTTTGTTATTAACCTTTATTATGCTTTTTTTCCCTCTTACCATAAAGCACACAACATCCTGTCCTTTTATATGCAATATTTAAAACCCACAGATTGGAAAAAAATATACAACAAAATATAACAAAGGTTAAGATAAAAAGAGAAAAAAAAATGATTATAGTAAATGATTATAGTAATATTTAGTAACATACAGTAATATTTTAAATATTCTTTTCATCACTACAAAGACACACCACACCCCAGAACACACTACAAAAAATAAATACATACATACATAACTAAATAAATATATAATTTACTTCAAACATTGATAGTGATTCTGAACAGACTAGGACAAAATATAAAACCAAAACATTATTTTCAAACTAGCTTTTTTTAGAATAATAAATTCTATTAATATTTTCATATTTTTTTATTAGATGGAAGAAGAATAAGTGTTTACCCTGCTTCCTCCTTTAGCTGGAAATAGTACAATAACTTAGGATCCATATTTTACAAATATTTGGGGTTAATAAGAATATCATAAACTGAAATGTGTTTGATTTAAACATCTGTTAACAATAAAGAACAAAATGTGTATTTTCCCTCAGTCAGCTGTGAATGTAAAGCTATTTCTGTTAATAAGTAATGCATGTTTGACTAACATACATATGATTATTAACTTTTCCATATGATTAGTAACTGAGGCATGGGGTTGAGTGTCCAGTACCTTTGCGGCAGCACAGCGCACAGCCATGGAGCGATCGGTGAGACATGTGCGAGCAGTTTTATAGATGTCTCTGTGACAGGACATGGCACTCACACCTAAACCCTTCAGAATCTTCTCAATACACAACATGATCTCACAGCGGCCCTGAGACTGGACACATTAACACACACACACATACACATTTATAAAAGCTACTGGCTTCTGGAATATAAAAATATCTCGATCCCATTTTTATCCCAGGTTCTCGGTGATATTCTGGTTCCCATATATGACTCGGGTCCCTCTTTCAACGTAAGTCTATTTTGCCTGTTTTATAGTGGAATTTCTTAGTATAGTAATAGCATGTCTATAATTTAAAAAAAAAAGTGCACATTGACGTTTAAAACTAGATATACAAATAATTGCCTTAGAAACACTATTAAACATACACTACTGTTTAAACAACTGGGGTTAGCGCGTTTGTTTTTTCTTAAGAAATTTAAAGTGACAGTAAAGACTTTTACATTGTTACAAAAAAACTATTTGAAATAAATGCCATTCTTTCAACAAAGAATCTTGAAAAAGTATTGTTTTCCACTAAAATATTAAGCAATGCAACTGTTTTCAACAATGAAAGTAAGATAATAATCATAATAATAATGTGTTTCTTCAAATCAGTATATTAAAATGACTTCTGAAGGATCAAAAAGGCAGTCAAAGTTGGCATAACTAAAATAAATTACATTTTCAAATACATCCAAATAGAAAACAGTCATTTCAAATTGTAATAATATTTCACAATATTAATGTTTTTACAGCCTTGGTGAGCATAACACACTTCTATCAAAAACATGATTGTTCTTTACTCTCTATTGTGAAGTATATCTGAGTGAAAATGTAGTGAATTTCATCTGCTACTTAAAGTCCTAAGCATTTTGTGACGGTCAAAATAAAAAAATGCTGCATGTGATGATTCAAAACACCAGAATCACCTGTTTATCCTCCAAACAGTCATGATTTTTCACAGTGAAGTACAGTCGCATCTCTTTGTTTGGCTGAACTGTGAATCACATACTGGTGTGCAGCCACACGTACCTCTGCGCTCTTCGTGGCTTTCAGAAGGTTTGCCACGCTCTCTTTAAACGAGTTGATGAGTAGTCGGCCCAGTTGCTCATACAGCACACCCAAACAGGCCACAGCTGCCCTGTAGGGAGCAATAAGTAAAGTAACTGGCAGAAGATCAAGCTGAAGCCCATCTGCAGATTTATGACACTCACAGTCGAGTAGGCAGGAAGCTGGGCGAGTCGTCCTTGCTGCGGATGATGTCATTGCAGCGGTCCACAGTGAGGCTGGACGTGAGGGAGTCACCCACACGGTACACCAGCGCCAGACACTGTGCCAACAGCAGTCGTGTCGGGGGGCCCGGAGAACCTGTCAGTACCGTCGTGAGCTGCTCCACCAGGCGCTTCTGGTTCTTTTTCACATCGGCCTGTCACACAAACACATGCCGACATACTGTTTAGATGAGCAGCGCTCTTTAATTGCGGTTTCTTGGCACTTCACCAGTAAGAAACAGACAGACACATCACTAGTCCATTCCTGGCTGAGAGACAGCCGGTGGAAAGGCAGACAAATAACCAGGGAGTCTGTTCAGAGAGGCTTGCTTGTGTTTGTGTTCGAGAGAGAGAGAGAGACAGACAGAAGCGTTTCTTCTCAAACAGAGAGCTTATTGTCAGCGCCCTCAACTCACCCGGTCTGTGGCAGGGAGTAGTTTCTTGAGGAAACGCAGCCACTCTAAGACAAACTCGGCTCTCTGGTGCTCCCGCAGCTGACTGCAGGCTTCCTCGTTCAGCAGTAAACTATGAGTCTGCTCCATCTTTCCGTCTCTTCTCCCTCTCCAGCTTTTCACCTGAGACCTTAACCGCAGCGCCCCTCAAATTCTGGACACCTCCATCCTCCCTGAAATAAACCACAAGTTTTCAACTGAGGTTTTCACAAGGGGTCCGTGGAAAAGTTTACAGAAAAACAGTGTTAAATAAAAAAATTATGAAAATAAGACATAAATAAGCAGATGAAAAAATATGCCAAATAAAGAATATTTTCGGTTTTCTTTTTCACTTTAGTTTAAGTTTTAGTATAGTTTTTACAATTTTTATTTCAGTTATAGTTTTCGCTATTTTAGTACATCAAGTTAAACTAAACGAAAAAGAAAAATGTTGCTGTGGCAACTAGCTGAAATAAATAAATGTAAGGTTTTTCTATATTTAATTAATTTCAGTTAAAGTTTATTTCCTTTCAAGTAATGATCATTTTTAAATGTTTTAATTAACTATAACAACCCTATATAGTACTTCGGTGAGTAGAGAAAAAATCCTAAATAATTTTCAAATAATATTTTTTTTATACATGAAAATATATAGCTGCCTTTTCATTTTTAGGAATGGGGGTCCCTTAACACGGACGATCATATTCGGGGTCCGTCTCCGTACCATCTAAAATATTGAAAACCCCTGCTTTACATAAATTAGTTACAAAGTATACACCAAAGATGATGTAATAAGGAACTGATGCAATTAATATGGCTCTACATATCTGCATTAATGATAAGGATTTTGCTACATGTCCTGTTTCATAACTTTTAATCATTTAATCTGAGTGCGCAAAAGTGTGTGAACGTGCCAGTTTATAAAGGGTTTATTATAAATAGCACATCCGTTTTTCCAAAAGTACCTTGTGAAGTTATATGTCGCCACTATGAATTATGCATCATGTCCACTGAGTCTGCGCAGTCTAGAAAGAAACCAGCAGATCATGCAACTAAAATGACTAAAAGATTACTACCTTAAATGGATCTCAATTTCTAAACCAGATTAAGGAGGGTGAGATTGGACATCAAAGTGCCTGTCAGGGAAACAAAAAGGATGGGATAGTGAAATTATTTTAGGTTTCTTGGATGCTCCATGGCGAGTCAGACAGGCTGTCTGGAACGAGACCCCTTACTTTTCTTACAGGTTTATTAAGCTGCATGACAGTTTCTTATGTGAATTTGATTTTTTATATTCAGTTTCAATGTGAATTTAATCTGCATATGATTATAAAGCTAATTATTGTTTATGCTCCTGTATTTACCTGTAGCTGTAGTTATTCTTATCAAATAAAAAATCTAACAAATCTGTTTGAGCACAGGATAAATAAATAAACATATATTTCCTTAAACAAGTCTTTATAGTGTGTTTGATTTCTTGATTAGATGATGACTCCAGGCTAAATGAACAGGACTCCTGGCTAACTCGATTTGCTGCCAACTTCACCCAAAGATAGTTATCCTCTAACATGTGTTTTTAACTAAACATACGTCACAAACTAAAACAGACATGTTGTTGTCAATGATTTAGTAAGTGTTAGTTATTTTAGCCTAACGCTAGCTTTTATCCAATGCTAACCAAATCTCTCTGACATGCTAGCGAGAAAAATCTTCAAAAGCAGCGATTTACTGCCTTTAAAATGAAAGTATCGTGAGGAAAATGTGTATTACCTGCTAAATCCATCAACTGTAATGTCGGGGGGACGACAGTGAGAGAGGTATTTCCCTATTCAAGGCGACTGTTTGTGTGTAATTCCTCAGACATCTGCTTGCATGAAAGTGCGAGTCAAACTGTGAAGCGCAGCCACGTTAAAGGGAAAATGAACGTGAGAGACCGCTAGAGGGACGCTATTCAAACGGTCTCTGTCTAAAAACTACATGGCTGTCTACCTGGGCAACATTTTTTTGGCTATTATAGCAACATGCTGAGACTGCATTTATCTGCATTGTACAATAGCTGCCTACATGTACAGCATTTTTGGCCAGTATATAGCCACCTACCTTGGCAGCATTTATTGTCATTATATAGAATTGTTTGCAGTGTAGTACTCCAAAACAACCATAAGCACTGTTATTTGCTCCCAGTTACATTTACAGTATCAAAAACAGCTTTATAAATTAATTCTATAGTTCAGAAAGAGGGTGGAAAAAGATTATGTGAAAAAGGTTTTGGTGCCAGAAAACTTAAATTTATAGTATACAGGTGCATCTCAATAAATTAGAATGTCGTGGAAAAGTTCATTTATTTCAGTAATTCAACTCAAATTGTGAAACTCGTGTATTAAATAAATTCAATGCACACAGATTGAAGTAGTTTAAGTCTTTGGTTCTTTTAATTGTGATGATTTTGGCTCACATTTCACAAAAACCCACCAATTCACTATCTCAACAAATTAGAATATGGTGACATGCCAATCAGCTAATCAACTCAAAACACCTGCAAAGGTTTCCTGAGCCTTCAAAATGGTCTCTCAGTTTGGTTCACTAGGCTACACAATCATGGGGAAGACTGCTGATCTGACAGTTGTCCAGAAGACAATCATTGACACCCTTCACAAGGAGGGTAAGCCACAAACATTCATTGCTAAAGAAGCTGGCTGTTCACAGAGTGCTGTATCCAAGCATGTTAACAGAAAGTTGAGTGGAAGGAAAAAGTGTGGAAGAAAAAGATAGAGAGAAACCAACTGAGAGAACTGCAGCCTTATGAGGATTGTCAAGCAAAATCGATTCAAGAATTTGAGTGAACTTCACAAGGAATGGACTGAGGCTGGGGTCAAGGCATCAAGAGCCACCACACACAGACGTGTCAAGGAATTTGGCTACAGTTGTCGTATTCCTCTTTTTAAGCCACTCCTGAACCACAGACAACGTCAGAGTCATCTTACCTGGGCTAAGGAGAAGAAGAACTGGACTGTTGCCCAGTGGTCCAAAGTCCTCTTTTCAGATGAGAGCAAGTTTTGTATTTCATTTGGAAACCAAGGTCCTAGAGTCTGGAGGAAGGGTGGAGAAGCTCATAGCCCAAGTTGCTTGAAGTCCAGTGTTAAGTTTCCACAGTCTGTGATGATTTGGGGTGCAATGTCATCTGCTGGTGTTGGTCCATTGTGTTTTTTGAAAACCAGTGTCACTGCACCCGTTTAACAATACATTTTGGAGCACTTCATGCTTCCTTCTGCTGACCAGCTTTTTGAAGATGCTGATTTAATTTTCCAGCAGGATTTGGCACCTGCCCACACTGCCAAAAGTTGGTTAAATGACCATGGTGTTGGTGTGCTTGACTGGCCAGCAAACTCACCAGACCTGAACCCCATAGAGAATCTACGGGGTATTGTCAAGAGGAAAATGAGAAACAAGAGACCAAAAAATGCAGATGAGCTGAAGGCCACTGTCAAAGAAACCTGGGCTTCCATACCACCTCAGCAGTGCCACAAACTGATCACCTCCATGCCACGCCGAATTGAGGCAGTAATTAAAGCAAAAGGAGCCTCTACCAAGTATTGAGTACATGTACAGTAAATGAACATACTTTCCAGAAGGCCAATTCACTAAAAATGTTTTTTTTATTGGTCTTATGAAGTATTCTAATTTGTTGAGATAGTGAATTGGTGGGTTTTTGTTAAATGTGAGCCAAAATCATCACAATTAAAAGAACCAAAGACTTAAACTACTTCAGTCTGTGTGCATTTAATTTATTTAATACACAAGTTTCACAATTTGAGTTGAATTACTGAAATAAACGAACTTTTCCATGACATTCTAACTTATTGAGATGCACCTGTATGTATAGTTTAGGGATAAAATATCAAAATTCAGAGGCATTAATTGTTAATATGCTTTTACACAGCATTTCAAAAGCAGCAGAAAGACCAATAGAGACATTGTCCAAAAACGTATTTATAAAGAACGTGAAGGAACATGACAAAGACAGATCTTTACTGTGAGCACAGCATACTTGAGTAAAACTGGTGGACAAAAATAAGTTTTAACCATTTTATTTGTTCATACATTGTATTTGCTTATATATTTCTTTACAATATAATCAAATAAAAGAATCTAAAATGTGGCATTTTCAACTTGTTGCTTTCACACCAGAGGAATTAATTAGAACTTGTTTCTTTTGCATTTCTTTATACCGAGCTGAGTTTATCCTCTTTCATTAGAATTATGGTTTAACATCCGCAGATTTTGAACTTCAAATTAAAAAATATATATATATACACACAACTCACAGATAAACACTGCATTGTAGAAGAACTGGCCAAACAAAGCAAATTACAAATCTTCATTTGAGATGTTTTGTTAGATATAGCTAGTAACATTTCATGAGCACTGGTGTTTGACAAACCAAAACACACTTAAAAACTGGAAAAGTGGAAGCTAAAATATTGTAAAATAATGTGATTAACAGCACTGAAATTCAGTGAAACTCAGCAGTACTCCATAAAATAATCATCCTCCTCATCAGTGTCATCATCTCTGGATGGGATATCTTTATCTGACAGCATGTTCCACACCACAAAGTCTTCATCTTCAGCTGTTAAAAACAGTGGTGATGAACGAAAAAGAAAAAGAAAAAAAAAAAAAAGAGTACCATTAATAAACAACATTTTTCAACTCGATGCACAGTAGCATGTTTGAGTTACCAAAATTTGCATACCAACACATCTCTTAAGCATCTTCTTTACTACTGGAGTTGGTATAAGCTTGTCCTGCACAAGAAATATATTGCATCATTTTAATAGGGAGAAAAATAAAAGTTGAATCACTTATGGCAACAAGATTAAAGATAAGCAGGATATTGAGACTGTTACCATTGGAGCAGCCTTTTTGCCCCGTTTCCGTCCCTTCTGAAGATGGTAAATGTACTTGTCCATGTTATTCCTTAAAATAAACAAAAAAATTAATGGTTTATACAAAGATCCAAATTAGACATCTGGATTTTTGAAACTAAAATGAGGCAATAAGCCTGATGAGTGCACTCAGCATCCGCCCACTAAATATAGCTTTGGCAGTCGAGAGGAAAGCGTACTTGTTGATGGATCCCAGCATTCCTGGGCTGATGTGCAGACACTGAGGGGTTTTAGCAGCAGTAGAAGTGCTAGAACTCGGCGTCTGAGGGTTCTGAAGCAGGCTGAAATCTTCATCTCCATTTGCAGCAAGTACAGGCAACTTCAAAAGACAACGTCAAGTTAGATTTTCTTAGGGTATAGACAGGATATGGTATAATTCAGACAGGGGGCTTCATCAGGTCTGCATGTGCAGTTCATGAAGAATCTAGTTCAGTGCATGTCCAAATCAATCAACAGCAAACCACCTTGATTTGTTTATTGTGCATTGGCGAGTTGGCAAAAACGTCATCATGGTTATCTTTGGGCATGTGGTCCAAGAAATGCCTCATCTGCTGTCTCCTTTTAAGTGTTCCAGCTTTAGCAGTTATTTCAACTATTTCCTTTCCTGTGAGAAAAAACAAGACGTTTTTTTTTTTTTTTCATTTTCAAATGCATGAATTTGCATTTGAAAACTTTTGACAATTTGTAAAAATTGTAATAACCCTTCAAATTATACCTGGCTCTTCAGTTGCTGCTGCTTTCTGAGCTCTTATTCTGGGTCTTTTGTTGGTCTTCTGATTGGAATTATACTGTTCCTGACACTCTTCAGCCGAACGAGTGCCGACAATATACGCAACTTTTGCCCAGTAACCACTCTTGTGCTTGGGCAATGAGTTGACAGCCCTATCCAGAGATACACAGTACTATCATGATCCATCTACATTTCATGCATCCAAAGGAATGATGTGAATTTGTAAAATAATGACCAGAATTTCTTTCAACTGTGAAAAAAACAACTTAAATCTAAAAAAAATAAATAAAAAAAATAATATATATATACACACACACGGTATATAAAATAAAATGGCATTCAAGATTAAAGCTTACTCGTGTAGTTTTTGTAGCTCTTCTTCAGTCCATTTTCCATCCAATAGCTCATCTTGTTCATTCATATTGCTGTTTTCTGTGTGTGGCTTTTTGCTCCTAGTGTTTGCTTTTCCTGTTTTAGATTGCTTTGATCTTCTGTTATTTGAAACAGCATGTTGAACACTTTCCTCACCCTCTGAGTGCTCAGAATGCATGTCCTCTGAGGACGCAAGGTGTCCATTTGTTTTAAGTTCAGATTTAGCTTTCCTCTGTCTTGTCCTCTTCAACAATAATGTACGTGCAGGCTTCTTGTCGTGTCGCCTTCTCTCTTCGTCGTCATCATCATCTGTGGGAAAATCAATAGAACCTCCGACCAAAACATCATCTGAGTTTCTCTGCAAAATCTTTTTTGGTCTACGTGAACGTCTCACTGAGTCCTGTTCATTTTGTTCCTTATGACTGGTAGAGTCTTGCACCACAGAGGTCTCAGTCTTATGAGGTTTTGTTAGCTGTTTGCGGCCTGCAGGCTTCTTGTCGTGTCGCCTTCTCTCTTCATCATCATCATCAGTGGGAAAATCAATAGATTCTCCTACCAAATCATCTGAATTTCTCTGAGAGGTCTTTTTAGGTCTACGTAAAACTCTCACTGAGTCCTGTTCATTTTGTTCCTTATGACTGGTAGAGTTTTTCGCCACAGAGGTCTCAGTCTTATGAGGTTTTGTTAGCTGTTTATGGTCTGTGGACCTTTTTCCTCTTTGCCTTTTTGGAGGGTCTGGAGATGCAAATGAGCTGTTTGAGTCAGTAGAGCATATCAGAGTCCTTCGGCGTAAGGACCTGCTGTCGTGTGGCATGGATTGTGGTTCATCCTGAATTTGCTTTTGGGAAGACTTGTTATT